GCAGACAATCATCTGACCCATAGGTGGCAGCCATCTCAAGCCAGAGGACGAGAGGACTCTAGCCGCCACGCATATATAAAGGATTTATAGTGAAAAACTTTGTTTTTACTGGTTATACTTATATTAAGTTCGCTTGCTTGCTTGCGTGCTTGCTTGCTTGCTTACGATCGTGCAAATCTTTCGGTCGTTTTTTAACACACTTCCCGTGATCCAATCGAGCTGACATTTTCCACACAGACTCGTTGTGTGTGACAATTAATTTTCGTGAAAAAAATATTCCAAAATTTTACACTGTTTAGGGAAAACAAATTAAATATTTAATTACCAATTGCTTAATGCTGGCAGACAATCATCTGACCCATAGGTGGCAGCCATCTCAAGCCAGAGGACGAGAGGACTCTAGCCGCCACGCATATAAAGGATTTAGAGTGAAAAACTTTGTTTTTACGGGTTAATTTTTTTTGTTTTACGAGTCTGCGTCCTCCCTGGGTGACATCTGCAGCTCACAGGTGGAGATTCTAGGCGCTCTCACCTCGGTGACGCAGCCAAATCCACGTGCGCCTTGGCGTCCGTGGATATTCCTCTACGTGTGAACTCACGCTGCGTGGCTCATCTTTCCGTGTGCCTGCTCAAACTGGCATCTCTGCCCTCCACACGCAACAACCCGTGGCGACGTCACCACGGCGCTTGTGCCAGGCTAGGTGCAGTCTGAGGCCACGTGAACTATGGGAAGGCTCGCTGGTTTGGCACAAGGTTACGTGGAAGGCTGTACCCCTGATGTTAATGGCTTAACTGGCTGAAATTAATGGCAGATGCAACACCTGCAATCGGTCCTGTGCCAAATTGCTGTTTACCCAGAACGTGCATCCACCCTCCCTCCCCCTCTCTCTCTCCCCAATACAGGGCCAAGACCGCATTAGCGGTAGCGCGTGAATGTCATTCTGAAGCTGTGGGAAATGACCCCTATGAGAGACAATCATCCGCGCATGCAACAAGGATTCAACAAAGATCCCTCGTATAGCCGTTTGAGGCTGTTAAATCACGTGCTGTTAGCACGCGCTTGTTAATGCCGGTACGGCGCACGAAGGGATAGTGTAGTATAAGCATCACGCCCGAACGCCTTTGTCTCCCCAGTGCTTTGTCTACACACATGCACCAGGTGCTAAGTTTAAGGCTGAAGTCGGTGGACACTCGGGGAAGCTCCGGATCGGATCCGATAATCGCCACTGAGATGTTCGCTGTGTTCAGGAATCGAAGTCGTGTGTGGCTGGGTTCGTAGCACAGCGTGCTTCGCACTACGGCAGTGCTCCACCACATCTCTCACACACACACAGCTCATGCACGTTACGCACACGGGCATCGTAAATCAGCCGGCAAAGCATCTGAGAGCATTCAACCCGGGTGCAATTCGAGCTGTGGGCTTGGACGGGCTCAATGTGCAGATGCGGAAAGACCTTCACTATGTGGAGCTGACGAAAGACTAAATAACATTCCCTTGGCCTACTCTTCTTGCACGCTGGCCAGACGTATTTGGAAGAGGTGGGAGTTAGCCTGCCCACTTTCTACTGCCGCGCCGGGAAATTGATCCAGCGGTGACCTCTGGATGGACAGTCCAGTGTCCTAGCCATGACACGACGACAGCATGAGCCAGACTGTGCAAAACAACGAGCGCAGGAAATGCGTCTCTTGCGAAAGCAGACGCGGGGATTGTGAATGGGGCGCGCAGAGAGGGAGTGCAGAGGTCAACTGCGCCGAGGCGACCTCTCCAGACGGAGCAAGGGAGAAATTAGATGTTCTCATTCAGAGAAATCTCCTGACTGAGATCCCGAAATTGGAAGTGATGGATATACGTGAGATGCATGTATGTATGAGTACATGTATGAAATAATGGATGGATGGAAAGTGAGCATGTATTATTCATTCACGTACGAATGAATGCATGCATGGAGCATGGGAAGCCTGCATTAATGAATGCATGCATGTATATATGTATTATGCGTACATGAAATATAAGAAGCATATGTGCATACGGCACATGCGAAGCATTAAAGTATTATCATTGTAAGCATTCATCGTTGTGTTGGCCCTGATGAATGCATGCTTAGACGAGGGACAGCCTTGGACACTATTGTCCTGCCTGCCTGGTGGTGTACAGGTCGCATGTATTGCATATATCTTTCAGCATAAAAATCACGCACACACACATTGAATCTGTTACATATACATGTAGGGCAGCATTAAAGCGCTCGCTGTTTTAGTGCAGTGCTGTGCAGGACGGGCTGCGCTATCCCCCGAGGAAATCGAATACACAGTCGACACCCCTCTACCAGAAGCTGCCGCGACTTGCAGTCCCGTCAACCTCCATTACGTTGGGGAGATGCGTGCGTGTGATGTACGTATAGCAGCCGTCATTCGCATATTATTCGTACAGACAATCGTGAGTGGCTGATGAATAAATCTAATGATACTCTAAAAAGGCTTAGAAAGATGAAACTTGGCGCTAAAATACTGGGCTACATTGAGGTCACGTTGTACAGCGGGATGGTACGGGACGGTGATGGATTTGGGAGGTCTTCATCCAGCAGTGGATAGATCACGGCTGTTGATGACGATATGAATAAACCGAAAATTGAGAAATGCCAAAAACGAAAAAAATGTCTAACGTGGGCCACGTAAAAACGTCCACGGATATGTATTGGTTTAACTCGTGAGGCAGGCCCAGTCTCGAGTTCTGTATTGCTTTTAGTTTTGTGCTAAACACTTACAAATAAAAGATCACCATCATCAGTGAACCAAATCATTCGCCTCTCGTGGCGTGTGCCGTTTAACCGATGGGAAACTATTCCAGGTAATTGTAAACAGCAGACAAAATCCGAGTGATTTACACTCCATTTGGTTGAATCTCTACATCACAAGTCCCTTACCGTTCGCACTTCCGACTCCACTTCGTTTTCAAGTCCAGGCTCGACACTTTTCCTCTCCCTCCACTGCCCACGCCTGACCATGTCCACTTGTCCACCTGTCTGCGTGTTTCTCTTTCCCCTCTCTATTTCCCCTCTCACAGCGGTGATGTTTGGTTCTTCCCCTCATGCCCTCCTGTCCAGAACACCCCCCACCCTCTCCATCAAAATCAAATCAACTAATCGTCCCCGGGATGTGCACGTTGTTCTGTCGTGCCGCAGCATCTTGAGTAAGACGCGGTCGCATTTTAGCGCCCCTGAAACATCCTGTTTTGTGTCGTTTTCTAAATAAGTGGCACGTACTTTCTGCACATTGTGTGGCCATAAAAGTAGGGCTCACGATAAAATAGATTTATTAGGACCTCGACATGACACATCGCGGGAACCGTTAGGTGTGTGCGTGACTGCCCACGTGTGTTTTACACGTGAGTGCCTACGTACGTGCACCTCTGTGTGGGCGTGTGTGTGTCTGTATGTATGTACGTACGCACGTATGCACGTGCGTCTTTGTTTTTGTCGGTGGTATTTCTATAGCGGGGTGGTTACTGCTGTCACGGCCAATTCCAGTAACGATTGTCTGAACCAGTCCTGGGCCTCCCCTAGGTGGACTCAGCATGGTGCGATGCTTAAGCATCACCACTCGGGAGACAAAGGCGGCCCGGCGTGGTCCTGGCCACATCACTCCCTCCGTTTCGGGCTTCATAGCTGCTTCCTAACAGCACTTGCCCCAATCGCCTGTTTAGGCTATGCAGGTCATCTTTGTAATTGTGATCATTTTGTGTGTGCATGTCCGTCTGTGTGCATGTCCGTCTGTGCGTATGTGTGGAGAACGATGGCACAGTGGTTCGCGCACTGCCCTACAAATCCAGCCACCGGGGTTCGACTCCAACACAGCCCGGGATAGCGTCCAGTGGCGAGCGATATTTGAACCTCACCTAGGTCAACTTGACCTTAAATGAGTGTCCGGTGAGTTATATAAACGCCGGTTAGTATGGAGACAAAGGCGTGGTGCTGGCCACACCACTGCCTCTTGTGCGCCCTTTTCCGGCCGTAATAGGCGCTCGCTAACGGCACCTGCCCCCAACAGTTTGCCTCGACTACGTTGGGGGCATCTTTGCGACTCTTTTTTATTTTCGATACAGATGCGCGTACGCGTGACCAGCGTGTGCGCGTGTCTGTATGTGGACGCGTGACAGTCGCGTGGCTCTCGGGGGTGCAAGCGCTTCACCGCACGAAGCCCCTGGCGCCCACAGGGGCACGCAGTTCGGAGGAGATATTGGGCAGGGAGCCTCATTGTATTGTCTGCGCCGTGCCAACCACGCTGCTATGCCACTGATGCGTATCGGTTCATGAACGTGTTGGTGTGTACGTGTGTGTGTGCGTGTGGCGAGCGGTAGCGCGCTGCGCTACGGACCTGGCGACCCGGGTTCGATTCCCGCTCACGACCCACACCTGTGGCGATTATCTGAACCGGTCCTGGGCCACCCCTAGGTCGACTCAGCCTCAAATGAGTACCTGGTGCGGTGCGTAAAAACATCGCCACTGGGGAGACAAAGGCGACCGGCCGTGGTGTTGGGCACCCACCCCCTCGTGTGCCGTGCCGGCCTTTATAGGTGCTCGCTGACAGCACTTGCTCCTACGGTCTGTCAAGGCTATATGGGGGATCTTTTGTTTGTTGTGTGCGCGCAGCGTGTGTATGTGTGCTTGTCTATTTTTGTGGGGAGCGGTAGTGCAGCGCTCAGTGCGCTGCGCTCCGGCGACCCGAGTTCGATTCCCGCTCACGGCCAACACCAGTGACGATTATCTGAACCGGTCCTGGTTCAGATAATCGACTCAGCCACAAGTGAGTACCTGGTGCGATGTGTAAACATTGGCACTAGGGAGACAAAGGCGGCCGGGCGTGGTGCTGGTCACCAACGCCGTTGTGTGCCGTGCCAGTCATCAGAAGTGGCCGCTAACAGCGCTTGCCCCAACAGTCTGTGGCAGGCAATACGGGGGATCGTTGTGTGTTTATGTGCGTGTATGTGTGCGTGCGTGTACCTGTCTGTCTGTCTCCTCATCACCGCTGCTCACCTTCTCGGGACCCTGGAAGCATATCCTGCACAGCGGCGTGCGCGTGCCCGTGTTGCCGCTGTTGAGCGACTCGGCATCCCCGTGCCGCTCCTTGGCCGTGGCGCCCTCCTCCTCCTCCTCTTGCCGCTGTCCAGCAGCTTCAGCAGCTGCTGCAGCCTCAGCGCCACGCTGCACGCGGTAGTCTGTGTACTGTGCCTGTGAGCCACACTGAGTCCCGGCACCATGGTTTTGCTGCTGCTGCTGCTGTTTTCCCGTCAGCTGCCGACCTCCCCCAACGCTGCTGCTGTCGCTGTCCTCGTATCCGCTCTGGTCGCTCATGGCGGCGCTGACTGAACGCTTGGGGGGCAACAGCAGAGTCTTGAAGTTGCCCAGAGCACCACCACCACCTCCTCCCCCACCAACGCCGCCGCAGCAGCAAGTCTCAGCGTCCTCGCAGTATCCACGGCGCAGCATCACCGGCGGGCCGCTTCTAAACCACCCGGGTCTCCCTTCCCTGCCGTTCCCGTATCCCGCTTGCCCCCCCACCCCCCAAATCCCTTATCCCAATTCCCAAATCCCAGAAAGCCCTGGGTGTGCTGGGTGTGCCCGATCCTCTCGCGCCGGGCAGCGCGGGGCCGGTGCTGCTGCTGCTGCGTCCACGCTGGGTACTGCTGCCGCTGATGATGCCGATTGCCGGGGAGCAGACGGGGGAGAGGGAGACGGAGGGGGTGGTGGTGGGGGTGGTGGTGGTGGTGGGGGTGGTGGTGGGGGTGGGGGTGGTGGTGGGGGTGGTGCTGCGCGCGTTGCCCGCGCTGTCGAATCGTCGCTGACGTCACCGCGAGCTGGGGCGACCGACCTGCCGCGGGCACGTGCTGCTCCCCTTCCTCCTCCTCCTCTTCGAATCCCGCTCCCGTGTTTTTATTCCTCGTCCCTGTCCCCCCCAATCTCGGGTCCCACCACTCGTCCTGCCCCCCCCCCCCCATCTCGCTCGCACCCTCCCATCACATGCTGGGCCACCACCCACCGCCCGCCCCACTCATCGCTGAACCCGCCGCCACAACGACCCCTTCCGTTCTGAGCACACGCGGTGCACAATCCACACCGCCGATAAAGACTCCTGCTTCCTGATTATCGACCGGTGGTGGTGATGGTGGTGATGATGATGGAGGGGAAGACTGATGTCGCTGAAGATGGTAGACGATGGTGATGACGTCTACCAGACTTGATCTTGATTTTCTTATTCTTAGCTGGCACTTGATGAAATCATATGTGGTAGGTGGTGTTTATGGTAGCGACGACGAATAAATGATGGTGATTGACAATAATGGTAGGGATGATGACAGTCGCGGTGGCGGTGGGTCGGTGTGATACCGGACTTAACAGCTGCTCGCGATCAGTACGGATCTTTGATGATGCATTGTATGTTGAGGGTTGGTTTGGGGGGTCTTTAATGATCATGATTTTTGACTGTCCATACCCCGACGATCTACTCTCTACAGACTCCGCGAGGGACGATGACGACGGCGACATCACATCTCATGCCCCTGTCTGCAGCGAGCGACATTACACTCATTGCAACGACGGTGATGACGGGGATTACGACAAATATATTCCATACTGCAGCATGGGAACATTGCACTCATTATAATAACTGCGATGGTGGTGGTGGTGATGATGCGTATGGCATATGTATAATATCACTGCAGCATGAACCGTTTCACTCATGATGATGACTACAATGATGATGATGATGGTGGTGAATAATACTTCGTTGTTGTAGCGTGAAGCATTCCGCTCATTACCACACCCTTAAGCACGGCAGCCCGCGAGCACAGACGCGCACAGACACGGCGGCGTCTCATCCACGCACAGTGCACACATTTCATGTGTTCGTCTCATGGATGCGTTGTCAAGAGTTTACACACAAACACGCGCTGCAATTCAACAGTCGCGCTGTTGTCAAAAGTCGCGAGTGTCGCGCGAGCAGAGCGACCCCCCCTCCCCCCTCGGCCGTGCGCTCACAGCCACCCTGCTTCGACCCCGCTCCCCACTCACCCTCCACACTGTGAGACCCCCACCCTCCCAATCAGAGCCGTCCCCCGGGTACGGTGAATCGGGGCGACCGCCCCGGGCCCCGGGGCTCGCGTTTTACGTCACCGTGTCGGTGTAACACCGCCGCCGGTTTAGTTTGGCTTCCAGGACCGAGTCGGCGGTGTTTAGGCTACCCACGCCTGCCACCTCTCTTCTCCTCCCCGCCGCCCACGCCTTCATCCAAACAGCTGAGCTCAGCAGAGCAAAACATTCCCACGTAGGCTTTCACGACCAATATATTACGATGCGTGAAAATCTTCTTGGTTCTTTCGGTAAAGTCACGTAGAATGGAAATGATAAAATAATCAAAATAAAACATAATAAAATAAGTAATTATTTTATTATTTTAAAATAATACAAATAAAACATAATAAAATAAGTAATTATTTTATTAGTTTTTTTATTTTATTTTATTATTTCCATTTTACGTGACTTTACCGAAAGAACCAAGAAGATGAATCCCTGCAGTCACGAAAGCTTAAAATCGAGAGATGCATGAAAAGTTTATTTTGGGTTGAGATCTGTGTATGGACAGGATGGGCCATAATTAACTACCTGATTTGTTTTACGTATAACTTTAGAAAAATTCAATAAAAACACAAACTCTAAATGATAGAAAATTATTTAATTCATGGAGATTCGATATAATTACGCATGCAAAATAATATCCTAGAAATGACCGCGTGCGTTGCGTTGGGAAAATCCGTGCTCTTTCAACGGCATTTTCCATCACTCTCCTCAAACTTGCTGGCGAAGTCGGAGATCGACCGGTTCGAGGTCTGCCAACAACAACAACGCTTTGCATCCACCGTTGTTTCTGATTCCCGAAATCGGGAAATCAACCCCCCAATACAGTGCAGAGTTGGAGCCGTTCGGGTCTTAAAATATCTGCAATAGTCTCTCCGTGTTGAAATAATTGAACAATTGTTTCTGAAATACATGTCAACTATTCTTGCACGCTGCTGAGGTGTATACCGGTTCATCACAAAACTCCCAGGCTTCTACTTTATTTCTACAAAAAAACATGTTGCAAAGTAATTTAACACAATACCGGTATTTCAAATCAGGTACAATTTCCAGCTCTACCCTCCGCCACCCGACAGAGCCAATTAGAATCAAGTCGTCACGTGCGAAAACACGCCACGTTGATTTTGTGTTTCAACAACACCGGAGGAATGTTGAAAAGCAGGCAAAATGTCTAATTTTCTTCATCACCTTTTAGCCATAAGTTGCGAAGGGAGGCGACAGTGGCGCGGCGAGGTTCTCGTCGAGACTCCAGTCCAGTACTAGAGTCCGGTACTACAGGAACCAGGGTAAAAAGCCGACCACGTGTTTTGGGGAGGGCTCAACTGGGACACCCGTGGCGGTGAGCCGGCAGCCGCCTCCCCCCCCCCCCGCCCACATTTACATAACCACGCGCACCGAGCCACTAGCCCCCGTCCACACGGAGGGGCCTCCACGGTCACTCACTCTGTCTCTCTCTGGCAGCTAAACGCTATTCGGTGATGATGTGTTGTTGGCATTGTTGCACAAGGACACGCATACACGAACTAATACAAACTCGACTCGATGACAAAGGGTCATTGCCCGAAACGTCGCCTCGGCCACTACGCTGTTTACCTCGCCCGCTACTCGGTTATCCCCGCCCTTATGAGGAGGCCAGCAAATAAAATAAACTACGACAGTTCCGATTTTAGAGAAATGTTTCAGGACACCGAGATAGTCTTTCGGACACCATCGAGACTGTCAATGGGGGGTAGGGGCGGGGCGGGGAGGGTCCGGGGTTAATGGGTGGAGGTCTGTGGGTGCCAGCAGCAGTGGAGTTGGGAGAGAACGACCTTGGGGGTGTCCGCTCCTCGGTGACGGCGTTACGCACATCGACACAGCGTGCCCGCTCTCCCTCGCACTCTCCCACCGCTCCCCTCCCTCCGTAACTCCCTTACTTCTCTCTCTATTGTCCTTTGATCCATTGCGCATACCACTCAACAGCTGTGCTCTCATACTACTCACTCGCACGCGTGGGCACTACCGCCTTCATTATCAGCCCGGCGGAGTCGGGGGGGTCGAGTCCCGCATTTGTGAATGAGATGTCATGTGGGGGGACAGGGAGAGGGGGGGGGGTGTCTGTTAGAGACATCTGAAGGCGGTACACGCAGCGGCACGCCGAGTGGACTTCACAAGCAGCCACGATGATCATAATTCGCCTTACCCGCCCATCAATTAGAGTGCCAATGATGAGAGTGGATGTGCAAAGGAGACCTGTGGATGTCCATAATTGACACAATTGTAAGTGTCCCAGGCGAGCAGTGGACGCCTGTGAGATATATGTAGGAGAGGGTTACGATAGACATCACAACAAATATTCACTTTAAGATGTTTTTTGTTCATGTTTTAGTTTTTTGTTTGTTGCGGTTGCACTCGATTCAAGAGCCGAATGGCTCACAGGGTTATACCTAATAAATGAACTTGAACTTGAACATCAAGAATCAACTCCAATCGTGGGCTCCAGCAGGTATCTGCAGCAACTTAAAGTCCCACCACCTCGCTCCCCTACACCATTCCCGCCTCCTCCCCCAATATTCCTCCCGGACATCTTTATCAGAAACTGGAGCAGCAAGTGTTGCGATCAACCACTTGTGTTTAGATGACTCCCTAAACAGTCGTCACACACTCAAGCTAATCAATTGACAGCAAATTCAACACATTCGTCAATAGCACTGCCTTTAAATACAAACATATTGGGCGACGTTTTGGACAGTGCCCATACTTTAGATCCGAGAAAAAGATATTGATCGACATCTACGAAGTTGAACATTTCTGTCGAGAATGCTCAATCTCCGCAATATAAACATTTTAATTCCCAAATTAATGCAATGAAATAAGTATAACCCGTAAAAACAAAGTTTTTCACTATAAATCCTTTATATGCGTGGCGGCTCGAGTCCTCTCGTCCTCTGGCTTGAGATGGCTGCCACTTATGGGTCAGATGATTGTCTGCCAGTATTAAGCAATTGGTAATTCAATATTTAATTAGTTTTCCCTAAACAGTGTAAACTTTTGGATTTTTTTTTCCACGAACATTAATTGTCTCGCACAACGAGTCTGTGTGCAAAATGTCAGCTCGATTGGATCACGGGAAGTGGGTTAAAAAACGCCCGAAAGATTTGCACGGTCGTAAGCAAGCACGCAAGCACGCAAGCAAGCAAGCGAACTTAATATAAAGGATTTAAAAACACATAACAGGGTGTAAAACTGTACCCTATATCAACGATACAAATACTGTGGCTTGTAAGAGCGACCGTCGCGGAGATGGAGCGATGAGATCGGTTCAAGCCTAGGAGCAAGCTGTGTTGACGCATCGGAGGACCTGTGATGGATGAAAACACCATTGTGACGATGCACCACG